TTGTTTAAAGAGAAGTACACAGCTGTACGAAGCTGAGGCAAAAGCCAGCTCTCGGCAAACACGCTGCACACATTACTATACTTTACCAAATATTGTTGCTTTGTCAGAACCCTGCCAGTCTGAAGTGTGTAGCTGCTTTTTTATTACCAGTTCTAATATGTTTATTCATTGGTTAGTTAAAATATTTAAGCCCTGCTTTTCACACTCAACATGGTGGTTCAAAACAGCTTACAATCAACAAGTCCAAACAGGCACTACAGGACATTTTTTTAAAGGTTATAACCCTAAAACATCCTTATATAGAACTCTCCCTAAAACTACTTACTGTTGGATAGAAGTTTCATCGAACACCTTGTTAAATGGGTCAGCTTTACAATATTTTTATTTTATTTGTTATGTATAGTCTACCTTTCTCACTGAAACGCAAGCTAAATTATACAGTGTAAATCAATGCCATCAATAGTATGATACATCTAATAAACGGTGTAATAGGACAAGGACTGCAGAAATTTGAAACCCAGATGTTGTCTGAGCAAAGTGTAAGTATTAAACATGACAAGTTAAACAGTGCAGAACATGGTACTACATAAGTAGAAACGCGGTGCATTTTGCTGGACCAATCTGTTACAATGTAGCCCTGTTTCCTTTACAAAAATACCCTCCTGAACAATTATGTTTTACAAAGTTTGTGAAATTCCAGGAGCGTAGAAGGTGTTAGCTAAATTGTTTTGATATGTTATTAATGTGGGGAATTATGATTATTAATTAGCAATTGGCACTAAAGGGAGCAAAGCCTTTGTATACAGGAGTCCCGCCTTTTCCAGTAAAACCAGAAATAAACGCAGAAATCAAGTCTTTAGAGAAATGGATTCTTTACTGAAGAATATTCCAAACAAGTAATGCAATAAAGGGCACAGCAATCTGAATAACCCAAACTACAAAGAATTGCTGCAAAACGTTCACAAATTCACAAAAACATGACAATAATATGTAGACATTTTCATGATGTTTAAATTCCAAAGGTCTTATTTATTCCACAGATCAACAAATGACGAACATCTCGAGTTTCCAGAGTTCGTTTCGTGGTCTTTATCAAAAAACTGTTTTGCTGAATTTTTCCAAGCAATCCACTATTAGGAATCTCAATTTCAGAATGGCTATGAATAGCTCTTAAGTTAACCAACAATACTTTTTCAACGGACGTTCGTCATTGTCATGTTTTTGTGAATTTGTGAACGTTTTGCAGCAATTCTTTGTAGTTTGGAATATTCCAAACATACAATAGAACATAATCACACATACACTTATTCAGATCTAGGAAAATTAGAGAGAAAGGGATAGCGACATTCGCATGAGCAGGTAAAATCGTTGGTGGGTGATAGCTACCTGATCCTGGAGAGATGAAGTGATCCACAGGAAAAATAAAGGAGACTATAAGGGATTAAGGCAGCACTACACCTAGAATCAGCAAGATAGGGCAGGGTTTAGGTCTAGAGGAGAGAGAGAGAGCGCACATGGCAGGTTTTGCTCTTTTATACTATATTTGAATTTGGGGGTGGGCTTTTACCAGCAACTTCCCCTCCTCACATCCCCAGGAAGTTGCTAGGCAAAAACTGGCTGCAGGAGGAAGGCGAAGCTAAAGGTTGGGCAATATTGATTTCATTACTACTGACAGTGGTCACCTTTAGAGAACAATAGCTGAGTCCAGGGTTATTGTCTTCTGATGGCTCTGGCTGATGAGTTGATGGGTTTAGCTGGGCTGTGGCAGTCAGCTATCCCTATTCAGCAAGCAATCCTTTTGTTATGCCTAAGAGCCTACATGCAGGCTCTGATGAAGGTGAAGGGGGTGGGGTTTGCCTGAGTGTTGAAGGAAAAGTCTCTTCAGAATTTTAAGTCCCTTTTGCAGAACGTGGTGTTCCTCTATAGCAAATGGTTGCTGGGTTCTGTGTGCTTTCTGTGGCTAGGGTGCTTGGTCCTCTTTCTGCTGCGCTGCAGGTGAGGGCATGGATCCATCTTTGGTCTGGCACATTGTTACAGGAGAGAGCTCTCATCTGCTGGGTGTGCCTGCAGTCCAGGTTGATGGCGGCACATGGTCCCTGTATATTCCATTTCCCTTATCGCATTGTCCAGTTTATCACTTATGAACCATAAGTCCATAAGAGCACTATAAGCACCTTGCAGGGCAACAGCAGGCTTCCTAACCAATTTAAGCAGGCCATCTTACAGGGTGGGGCTGATGTTGCCCATCTGCAGGGTGGTAATTGCAGAAGGCCCTGTTCAGATGAGTGAAGTTGTCATGGCAGGACATAGGTGGAGAGGCAGCTTGAAGGTCCAAGGCCATGAATGGCTTTGTGTGTGATAATCAATACCTTGGACAGAGCTTGATAACTGATGGGCAGCCAATGGAGTGATTGAATAATGGGTGTAATATGCATACTCCACCAAGCTCCTGCTAATAACTGAGCTGCGGCACCAGCTGGAGCATCTGAGTTTATTTTGAGGGAGAGACCTACGTAGAGTGCTTTACAGTAGTCTAGCCTTGATGCTACCACAGCATGGATTTAGGTGGTCAGATTGGCTGAGTGAAAGTAGGGGGGTCATCTTCTGAACTAACCTAAGTTGGAAAAAAGCATTTTTGCAGCTCCATTTTCTCCAGCAGTAATGATGAGTCCAGTATAACTCCTAATCTCTTAAACAAGTAAGCAGGGGTTAGCTGAACCCCATCAAAAGTGGAAAGCACAGTGTTGTTAATCACCTCAGGCTTTCCAACCAGCATCAATTCCATCTTGTCTGAGTTCAGTTTCAATTTGTTCGCTTTCAGCCATTTAGCCACAGGAGTCAGGCGGTGGTTCAAGACCTGTACAATGTCACCAGGGGATTTGGATAGATATAAAGTTCGGTATCGTCAGCATATCGATGACATCCAGCTCCAAAGTCATTCATGACTTCTCCTAAAGGTTTTACATAGAGGCTGAATAAAAGGAGGGGGTAAGATTGTACCATATAGAACCCCACAGGACAACTCCCACTCTGAAGGTAATTGGTCTTCAACAGCAACCCTTTGAGTCTGTTCTGCTAGGAATGATGTAAACCAGTCCAGGACACATCCCCTGATACTTACTTCAGCCTCTAAATGCGTCAGCAGGATGGCAAGATCTATTATATCAAAGCCTGCAGGTATATCTAGTAGGAGCAACAAAGAAGCCTGGCCTTTCTTGTTAGACCATCGACTAAAGCCAACAGGGCTATCTCTGTCCCATAGCCTGAAAAAGGCCTTGGAAGTTGGTTCACTACTGCTTTCTCAATCACTTTTCCCAGAAAGGGCAGATTAGATACTTGGTTTCACCATTTTTCTGTATGGACAATTTTTAAAGTAGTGGATGGATGACTGCCTCTTTGAGTGGCCAAGAGAAGGTGCTATAGTTAGTGACTGATTTATGATGGACATCAAGGGCTCATTAATGTGGTTCTTACCTGATTTTAGCAGCCAGGATGGGCAAGGATCCACTGCATGAGTGGTGACCTTCACAAATCCAGGATCCTGTCAACATCCATCAGAGTAACTTGGTCAAAATTGGTCCATAAGCAGACCAGACAATATATTAGGTGTTTCTTCTGTGTGGTCTCTAGATCATAACCAGCATCCAGATCAGTGTGTATTTGTGATATTTTATTAGCAAAAAAAAAAAGCCTTGGCAAAAACTCCACAGCTAATTGCCTGTTTGTGAGACAATGCAGATTCATAGTCAGCAGATATTGAAATATGGTAGACAACTGGAATGGTCATGAACTAAGTGGTGCAATGGGCACAGCTGTTTCCACCACTGCAGGTCACCTGAAACCAAGCCATTGAGGTGGGTGCCTTTCTGGGCCTTTTCTGGGAAGCTGTTTCAAAGGACTAGTCCGGCATCTGAAAATGGCTCCTTTCAAGCTGAGCCTGTGGTTGATTTCAGGGAAAGATGTTTTAATTTAGTTACTGCATTTTATTGTGGATATAGCTGGCTAAGTCAGCTTCCATTCTGCTCTGGCCTACAGTATATTCATAACAAAGAAAACATTTTTAAATACTATTATCATGTACTTTAATTTATTCAGCCATTGAACCAAGGGCCATTATTGTCTACATTCTGGGTTAATTTATGTGTTGTAATCAAGGCTTCTATTGCTGTGCCAAAGATCTTGGCTTTTAAAATATATGAGTCAGACATGTATGTTAGTCAAATAGTTGGTGGTATTTGTTTCTTTAATGTCTTGAAATCAAACAAATTTGTGTGTTGTTGTTTGTATAATGGAGAACGCAAAGGTGAGTCCCTGATATAGCACAATGGTCGCTGCATCTGTTCCCTATTTGCATGCCTATGATTACAGCTGAAGTGTGATGAAACAAGCTGAAAATAGTACATTGGATTTCAGAAGGGAATCACGCAAGTGGATTGCAGACTGAAGCAGATTTCTTTATGAATTGTGCACAGTGAATCATGCCACATTGTCTCAGTGCTTCCCTGAGGTTTGAGAAACATCAGGAAACAGTAGGGAAAAGCTGGAACAGCAAGGGAAATGAAATGAGACTTTGAGGCAGCTCTGAAATAATCTGGTTAAAACAGAAACCCAAAACTGCAGCAATAACCCCTCCTGGGTGATGTGCATGAAGTAGCTGTGATTTGTGCATCTCTGCCGCCAGCAGTAGTAAACTAGATGGTCTTAGATGCTCACAAGCAGGGCATGAAAACCTTCCCCTTCTCTCCTTCAGGAATATGCCTAATCCCCTCCTGACTTGAAAGCAGATGGCTTTGAGGATGGAATGTTTATGAAAAATTCCCTCCAAAAGGATAAACTAGTCACAAGACCTTTACAAAGAAGGGAATGGGATTGAAGGGAAAACGCTCTACATTTGAAGGGGTGGGGAATAATGTATTCAACAAATATACTGAGGCAAAAATTCATACTACCATCACCCAGAGGAAATTTTGAAAGATACTTCCCACTTGTGTCTTTTTCAGGTTACTGTGGTATCCAGAAGGGAATCACACCTTAAGTGGAGTGCAGACTGAAGCAGATTTCTTTCTCAACTGTGCACAGTGGATCATGCAGCATCTTTCGGTGGAAACTACCACTAGAAGACACCAGGCATCTGAAAAAGCAGAGATCTCAATTCTGTTTTGAGTAGAAATATATGCACTGCGGGGCTCTCTATTCTGCTCCACATGCATTCCTGAATAGACCTAGCAGCCTCAGTAAAGGTTCTGTGTAGGTTTTCAGCCTGCAGTCAAGTTTCTGGCCTTTAAAAAACCATGCTGTACATCTGGTAATTTTATGATGCAGGTTCTTTCGAGGAAACCCAGCCAATAGTACCTACTCAAATTCACTTCTAGAGGTAAGGCTGCACTGTAACTTTCTGCCATCAGGCTCTGCTGGACATCGTTTTCAGCTAAGTGAATTTAAATACTAGTGGTGGTGGTGGTGAGTTGATTTGGGTTTGGGGGGGTTGTTCAAAAGCAAGAAATTGTAAGTAGATAAATAGGTACCGCTTCAGTGGGAAGGTAACAGTGTTCCGTGTGCCTCAGCAGGGCTCTAGTCGGGGGGGAGCTCTCAGGTACGGAGCTCCGGAAGAGAACCTCTAGGGGGCGGGGCGGTCACCTGGTGAAGCCCCGCCCCCTTCTTTACCCCGCCCTCTGCTTCGATCCTCATTCCGTTTGGGAATGAGGATGAAGCAGGAGGGTAAGTAGCCGGGCCTTCTGACACACTTCCGGTGATGTCAGGGGGTGTGGCCTTCTGTCACTTCCGGTGATGTCAGGGGGCATGGCATATGCAAATAAGTTATGCTAATGGGTTATGCTAATGAGCTCCGGCAGCTCTTTTTCTACAACAAGACCCCTGTGCCTCAGCATCTAGTCATACCAGTCACATGACCATGGAAACGTGTTTGGACAGCGCTGGCTCTTCAGCTTTGAAATGGAGATGAGCACCGCAACCCTAGAATCAGATTTGACTGGCTCTTGAGCAAGGGAAACCTTTACCTGAAATCTTGTGTTTTTAAAGCCACTGTTAATGCTAAGAAAATAGCCATGGAGGTGTACTGTTAATGTCTTATCAAAACAAATTCATGAACAAGACTCCAGGTTTGCTGGGGAATACTTTATTGCTGTGGACTGATTGTATGAGTAGAGCAGAGCCCTAACAAGGTACCTGAAGCAGCTTCCGTTCTTCCCAAGTACCTGATTGGACCTTCCCTGTCCCCTGGAATATCATTGCCTATTGCTTTCGGCAAACATGGAAAACATGACATAATGCAGATGCTTATATTATTTCCTCAGTTCTTCAGAGAGATATTCACTCTTACTAGAAATTCAGTAAGAATTAGCTATATTTCCCCTTTAATTTCTCCCTTTTCTGCTCAATATTCTTTTAAAGATTGCAGCAGTCTTCAGAACTTAAGGATATTCAGAGATCCCCACATGAAATAGTTATACCCACAGTGTAGCAAAAAAGGATCACAGATGATTAACAATGTCATATCTGACAACATTGACTACTACATTTGGGAGGGAAGGAGCAATGCCCAAATAGATGCTTGGCATTTAGCTGATGTGCGCATGGCCCTGACCTTGCTTAAACAACTTCAGATGCTTTATGAACTTATACCTCCTTTAATTGCAGCAGTCTTTTTCATGCACAAGACCTGATACAGAAAGGATTGGTACGTCGATCACCCTTGCCAGATCACAGCTAATAAAAGTTCTTTTTCTTTTTTTGCTACAGATTTGTTTATAAGATTTTTCTTTTAATCCAATACGTATTTGTCTCAAGTCCTCATTTCAGCCTTCTGATTTAAGAAAGATGTTTTATTGATCAGAAGTCTTCACATATATGCTCTAATTGAATTCCTATATGAGTACACATTCTCATACATACATAGACAGTTACCTTCTTCCAAACAATACCTTTCTATTAAGTTAGAAAGGGGAGTTGTAATTTGTTTTACACTTCCGCTTCCAATAAAAGGTGTATATTTAATAATGGGGTGGTGGCGGCGGCATTACATGAGTCACAGAGTTGTCCTGTCATTGTTTGCCCTAAAGCAAGATGTGAAAACATCTTGACATTAGCATGATCTGTAATTTTTGGTATTAAAAGAGACATCACATCAAATCTTGAGTAAATCTTATGCCATGTAGAAAAAAGAATCTCTAGTCTCAAATGCCAGAATGAAGATGAGACTGTATTTCCTTGATGGTAATTCTTTCCTTCAGCAAATACTGTGAATGGTTGGGTTGTGTGCTGCTTCTGTGAGATCTGTTGGTTTTGCTGCACCCATTAAATCTCCTGCTATAATGACATCTCTTCACAGAACTTTTATTATAAATACTTTTGTTTTTAACAGAATCCTACTAAAACCTGGTCAAGCATATATAACATTCCAAGCAGGGCATAGACTTATCAGTTTCTGGGGGGGGGGATGGGTCTGACCAATCCAGGCCCCCACACTTAGTAATCTATATTAAATAATTTCAATATAAAATTATTCATATTTTTGAAACTCATATGCCTTTAACAATTGAGCAAGAGTCCAGTAGCGCCTTAAAGACTAACAACATTATGGCAGGAGCTTTCGTGAGTCACTGCTCCCTTCTGAAGAATAGAAGAAAAAGTGAGCAGTGACTCAGGAAAACTCATCCCCTGCCACAAATTTTGTTAGTCTTTAAGGCGCTACTGGACTCTTGCTCTTTTCTACTGCTACAGACAGACTAACACAATTACCCATCTTGATCTATCGCCATCAACAATTAATTATGTGCGTTTTAAACTATAATTTTTCACTCTCAAAAATCTGAATCTCAGTCAAAGAAAAAGGACTCTGCAAGAGGAGAAGATGTCATGAACTTCTTCACTGAGACTCTTAGAGTAAATATTTCATTCATGTATGATAGGAAATACTTCCCCTCTCTCCTTTTCTCACAATTCAGGCTGAGTGCGTGACTGGCCCAAGATCATATAGTGATCCTATATCAGGCTAGCCCGATCCTGTCAGATCTCAGAAGCTAAGCAGCCTCAGCCTTGGCAAGTATGTGGAAGGGCGACCTCCAAGGAATGCCAGGGTCCTGATGCAGAGGCAGGCAATGGCAAACAACCTCTGAAATGTCTCTTGCCTTAAAAACAAGTGTCGCCTGCCACCCAGTGGTGCATAACACTAAAGAGCTAGAACTTTTGGCTGCCAGACAATCTTAGGATCTCCTGGCTATTCTACACACAATGGCCATATGATAAGTATTATTAATCACATAGTGTATTTCTTGACTAAGCGGGGATCTGAATGAGTCAGATTTTTAACAGTACCTGGATCCTCCAATACCTGGAATTTCTTATTTGATAGTAAACAAAACAGAAGATTTCATGAATGCAAGATCAGAATGCAGCATTTCTAGAAAGACATGACCTTTGTTAACAATCCAGGGCAAACTCACAGGCAGGCTTTGTTAAAACTGGTTTATTATTTATTTGTTTGTATATTCATTTAAAATATTCCTGTACCACTTTTCCTAGTAGTTCAAAGTGGTTTCTGGTGACCTAATAACATTACATCTTGGACACATACAAATTCAGAAACAATCATTAAAACAATTACCAGTGAAAATCCTACTTAAAGAGCCCCACAGTCCAAACTTTCCGAGCAGAGCTCAAAGGAACAGACTTACTCTGGGGACAGAAGTGCCCACTCCTTTCCCTCTTCTCACAAAAACCTTGCTCTGTTTTTTATATCTCTCCTTATATATAATTGAATAGTGGGTGCCAAAGTTCTAATTCTAAAATGCACTTCCTTAGTGTATGGCTGATGGCACTGCTTCTCAGCATATATCACCACCAATCAGAAGGCAAAGCCCGGGTCCCGCCCACACCACAACTGCTGTGACAACCTGGTCTTTTGCATATGGAAGCTGATTGGACTTCACTCCATTCCACACCATTTCTAGTGTTAGAATAAATGGGTAGAGTTCACCAAAGCATCTCATTCAAAGAAGTCTAGTCATGAACTGCATCAAGCAAGGTTTGTGCTGCTGCTGCTTTACTCAGATTGCCTTCTGCTGATACAGAGATGGCTGTTTTCTATAAGAAAGCCAACGGTTAAAATTACATTCCTAACAAGTCAGTGGAGGTGGTATATCCAATGAGTGATTCCACCAGTAGTAGGCCTGGATCCAAGAGCAACCAGACTATGGACCTGTTCCTTCAAGGGGTGTGCACTCCATCCAGAACACTGAAAGTTTTTAGTGCTAGAAACTGAAACCATGCAAATTCATGGAGGCTCTCCTGTTACTTCTTTCCACATAATTGGCAATGATAGTAGTTTATGGAGATTGGTGTCTATCATGGAATTCAGCAAAGAGCACACTGCTCAGGCAGCCAAACCACAGCGATTATTTATCTTCATAGGAAATTATAAGTGTATGAAGCAACTCTAGGAATGGGATGACAGGGAATGAATTAAGCACAAAAAAAAATAGATAAAGGCTGCAATCCTATGCAAACGTATATGGGAGTAAATTTTATTCAGCTTAGTGAAGCTTATATTTGAGAAAATGTAGACAGGAGAAAGTACCATCCTACATTCACATCTGTAATCCTATGCAAAACCTAGCCCTATTGGTCTCCCTGAGGAGTTTCTTGTAAGTGAACATTTATCAAATTTAGTTACATGGTAATACAAGCACTCTTTAGTTACTTTGTTGTAATGCTGCTTGATACATTGATTTGCTATGGAACTTAATGCATGTATGTGGTTTGCATAGGTTTGGTTTCTTTAAGAGAGTACAAGTAGGCCCGAATTTGCAATAATTAATAGAATCTGCTTTTGATTTCCTGTGACAAGCAGGCTTTATTTTGTAGTGTACAGAAATAATATCCTTGGGAGAAAATACACTTTGCTAGTAGCAGGAATAGCTTGTCTTCTGCCAAAATAAATATCCAAAGAATAATGCAAATAGTTATTTGTGCTAAACTTCAGGTGTTCCGAGGAGCATTATGCTTTGAATGGTGAGAAATCAGGCAGTTCAGTAGAGGTGTGATCTGTTAGCAAGCTATGACACAGGAATTTATCACATCAGTGAAACTGTTCTTTTCTGTTTTTTTACAACGGTTCTGGATAAGAGGCTTAACATTTGAATTCATTCTTAAATTCAATTTATGCCTGAAGTTAATTGTCAAAATCTATTTTTATGGTAAAGACTTTGAATTTGTGCATGAACCTGTATCCCTCCTTATAAATCTCAACTGGGATCTTTAAACTGAATGTCATTAACCAGTTATCTGATTTGTAGGATTACTTTGTCAGCGGGGTGACGACAAACCTTCATTCTTGTCATGTGACTCTCTAGTATCTGAAAAGGGCACAGGTTTGCTGCCAGAAAGGGGAATATAGAACATGTCTTTGCATCCCAGTTGTTAGATGGTG